AACTTAACTGGATAAAATGTAGATCATAATCTCTTACTATCTAAGAGTGACGAATCCTCTATTGGTCATTCACAACCTTCATATGATTCTTGACATACCCGAATGATATTGCATTAGCGACCCTTGACAGAGCAACATCCAACACCACCAAAGTATGACTGTCCTCATATAAGGTACCATGATGACCTCAAGTCAGAGGACTAATTCCACTACCGAACGTTAGAGATTAACCACTAACAATCAGATAGTTATCCATGTGGAATCTCTCAGCGGGTCTCCCATGTTTTGTTCTATAACAAAACATCCACGTGTTCATTCAAGTGTCACCACACTTTAGCTTGTGAGATCAGTTACTTACTTCATAAGTAAGAATGCCACACGCGATAGTCTATCCGTAATAACGATATCCGTATCTCGTTATTACTTCGACCACAAACGATTTAAGATTCAGTCATATGTAATTTGTATCTCACAATCACAACTCCTTGTGATTAACAAATCACCAACGCTTGAATCTACGGATTCTATTATTTAATTTATTAGAATATTAATTCAATTAAATAATAGATATTGCCATACATATGCATTGATTATATATATATTCAAAGTATTTATGTCCAAAGTTGATTGGACCTAAGGCATAACACTTACAGCTACACCTCTTTATTAGACAGGTTTACCGAGTGGTGACATTTAAAAAACTCAAGAAATGTTTTTTCAAGTGGTTTTGTAGAGCAAAGTCAACAGTCTAAGTAAAAGATAAACAAATTGTCGTGATGAGGGAGTACATAACAAGTGTCTAAAGTATGTTAGAGTATCATCACACGTGACCGAAGCTAGTGAATCAGTTCCTAGCTGTACTGCCGAGAAAAAGAGGATTTGATTAGGATTAGATTCAAAAGAAGATCAAATTTGGATTAAATTCTATTGTAGAATTATCTCAACCTCTTTTTGAATTAGAGTAGAATGCTGTAACTGTTTATTTAAACGTAATCAATGTCTATGTTTGGTATACAGAAAAGCCAAACAAGTCAATGTTTACCGTGCTTGTTCATAACTTTTACATGGTATCAGAGCAAATAGAGCCACACGCCTAAGTTCTGGATCTTTCTTTCTACCAAACTTCCGTACCTTTCTAAGCTACCAACAAACACTCGTGGCCTCCTTAGATTCTGCATCCAACTTATCCACTAATAACAACTCCTCCGCACTCACAATCCAATGTAATTTGCAACCAGTTACTCAAAAGTTGAATGGCCCCAATTACCTTCCATGGAGCTTTCAATAACTTGTGTTCCTTCGCAACCATGATCTTGTAGACATCGTGGAAGATGAAACACTTACTCTACCAAAGACTTTATCTGATGGAACAACAAATCCAACTTATGCAGTTTGGTTCAGACAAGACAACTGTGTTCTCAGCTAGTCACTAGCTTCTATAACTGAAAAGTTAGTATCCTCAGTTATGGTTTGAAGACTTCCAAACTGGTTTGTTGAAGACTTCCAAACTGGTTTGGAATGTACTTCGTACCAGATTTTCCTCCACATTACGATCACGCATTGCCCTTCTCAAACCAATTGCAGACCATTACTCAAGGTAATCGATCGTGTACAGATTACATCGAAGGGGAAAAATCCATATCTGATTAGCTTGCTGCCGCTAGAAAATCCATTGATGATCAGGAGCTCATTAGCTTTCTAATTGGTGGTTAGAAAAGCAACTTCTCCTCTTCCATCACATCCTTCAACTTTGCCTCAAGGGACAAAGATTTTACTTTAGATCAATTTTAAGCATAACTACTCGGTTTTGAAAATCTTCTGGAAACTCAGATTTCGCATGCACCGGACAATCATTATGCCTTTGCACCACTAAAGCAAAATAGTCACAACTCATGAAGAATTTGAAACCGCAACTCAATGGCACCAAGATGCAGAGTTGAAGTGTATACGTAATTGGAGTAAATTAGAGATGATGCTGATGGGATGATGCTGATAGTTTCAGCTGATGAACGTGCACCATTGGGACCAAATTACTTTTTGTTGTAACTAAAATTATTCCTTTTGGTTTTGTAGTCACATGTTTAGTTATTGCTTGGCTTGCTCCCTACTCCAAGAAGTCTGTATATATTTAGTACATTGCTCATTGAAATAAATAACAAAAACATCACGGGTTCATCATCTTCATTGTTCATTCTGTTTATCTTCAATTTTAACATGGGTATCAGAGTCACAATGGCTAACACCGAATCAAATGACAATACCCAATCAGCTCAACCGACTTCAAGTACTCTGATGCCTTCAATGGAGGGAGGTAATCAGTAGGCATCACTTGGGATTAATCTTTCTCAAGTTGCTCTAGTGAAGTTGGACATAAATAATTTCATTCTCTGGAAAAACATGATTATGCCAATCATTAGAAGGCATAATCTTGAAGGTTTCATTACCCGAGCAAAAGTCTGTACAACTAAGTTTCTAGTTACTCAAACCACTGGCTCTACTGGCACTACTTTGGAAATGATTCTTAACATATATTATATGAAGTGGATGTCCACTAACCAGCTACTGATGGGCTGGTTATACTCCTCAATGATGCCAGAAATAGCTATGAGAGTAGTGGGGTCATCAAGCTCCTGTGAACTCTAGAATGCAGCCAGCAAAGCTTCGGAGTCACGAACAAATCAAGGATAACCTTTCTTATCAGTGAGCTTCAAAGGACCAAGAAAGGTTCCATGATAGTTGATCAATATCTCAACACCGTGAAACAACTAGCAGATAATCTGGAAATTGCTGGAAAAACGGTTCTTCATGGTGATTTTGTTACCCAAGTACTGGCTGGCTTAGATAAAGACTACACTCCTATTGTAGTTCAAATTAATAGTAGAGAATCCATCTCTTGGCATCAACTACAATCAGTACTTATGATCTATGAAAGTAGAATTGAATATCTGAATGCTGTGAAAAACAATCTTGCCTTAGAAACTTGAACCAATCATTAGCCAATTTTGTACACAGACCAAGTGCAAATAGAGGTAGAAGTTTTGGTTACAGTGGAAGAAGCTACAACAACAGAGGTGGTAGAAACAAGGGAATAGAAGTAAGACTGATAAGTATGTTTTACATACTTATTTTATTGTCAAAACATGAGTAATTGTTGATTAATATGTTGGAATATAGCTTAATTCTATGCAATTCATGTTTTGCAGGATAAGTGATGAATGTGCCGAAAATAATGAAAAATAAGTGAAAAATAACCAGAATGGAATAAAGTGAAAGTTCAAGGATTAAAGTGCAAATACTCAAAAATTATGTCGGGACTCACGATGAAAGTTCGAGAGTGCTAAGGGTCGATTGGAAGTAATTAGAAATCAAAAAGGAATGGAATATTATCAAAATCAATTTCCAATTCGCACAAGATATATTCCAGATTTTTAGCCGAAAAGTGAGACCCATTTTTGGTATTGTAAAAGTCTGAATTGAAAAAGATGTATTTCTAACAAAGTTGTAGCTCTTCGAGTTATCTTTCTAATACATCTTGAATCGTCTAAATAGGATATCAGAAGAGAAATTTATAAGCAAATTACTGACTGCTGTGTAGGGACAAAAAATTCGCGCGCGAAAGGAACTTTCCTTATTCGATTAGAACTCTTTTGGAAACCAATTTGGACGTGATTTTCATCTAATTTCGGACTCTTACAAATACTTAATAGCAGAATACATATGGAGAAAGCCCTATACACCATTCTTCTCCTCTTTGGCTCAAGAAACTTATAGAGAACTAAAACCCTTGGTGAAACTACGAAGGAACTCGATTAGAATTGGTGATTTCATATCTTTTATTCATTTAGTTTGATTTTGTCATTGTCAAATAATGCCATAATTTAGATTTTCATTCTCTTGAATTTATATTGAAATCGGTTAAATATTTACAAGATTCTTTATGGATTTAGTCATACTTTTTCCATTGTTCAATCAAACTATTTATTGAGTTTCAATTTCAATTATTTATTGTTGAGACTGGTTTAACAATTATTATATCTTTCATAGATCCAGTCATGCTTCTTCTATCGTTAGATTAAACTAATTGTTGAATTTTAATCTCAATTTCACTTTATTGGCGGATTGATTACCGCCTTATGCTTGATTTATATGGTCGATATTTGATCTTGTTCCAATAAAATTGTGCGAATACATCTTAAATCTAAATTCTAGGATTACATTTGTAAATTAAATTGATTTTTCACTATATATCTTCCGATTAGAGTGTTTGGATGAAAGCCTCTAATTGTGTTATAAAAATGAATAATTGATATGATTGATCCAATCTAATTGAGGGAATTCCGACGCTTCACGGCTTCAAATTATTGATTTTAATTTCACGTTTCAACATTGAATTTTATTACACATTTGAGAGAACAATTCAACCTTCTTGATCATTTAAATATTCTTCCATCTCCTTGTGGATACGACACCCCAAAACTGTGCTACAATTACTGCGTTATTCTTTGGGCGTAATCAAAGACCAACTGGCAGCAAAGGACCCTGTAAAATTTGTGGAATGAGCAACCATGTAGTTGATAAGTGCTTCAATCGCTATGATGATAGATGCATAGGTTCTAAACCTGAGATACACTATCAGAATAACTCATCTGGACCAGCAGCCCTTATTGGCCCACCTAACATTGTTGCAGACCCTGCTTGGTTTGCAGATTCTGGAGCAAATCATCATGTAACTGGTGAGAAAGGAAATCTGTTGGAGTTACGTGAGTTTGGTGGTAAGGAGAGTCTCAAGCTTCATTTCCCACATTGGTACAAATCACTTGAGCACACTAAATAACAAGTCAATGGCTCTCAAAAATCTGAAAAACTTGATAAGTGTCTCACAATTAACTGCTGATAATGATGTATTCATGGAGTTTCACTCTGGTTTTTATGGTTTCAAGGACAAAATGTTGAAGAAAGTGTTGCTGTAAAGGAAGCTTAAGGATGGACTATATCAATTTCAACCCCCAAGTCAAGATGGAAAGTCCTACTTTCAAGAGTCTTTTACCTAAAATAAACTAAACTCCTCTATTTTTGCTGCTAAGTCTAAGGTAATCACCAAAAATGAGTCTCAGTTAAAACTATGGCATATGAGACTTGGACATCCATCAGGTTCTATAATGTCACAAGTTCTCAACTCATGTAATGAAAAGTTCAATTTTAATGAAATCAATTATTTCTGTGATGCCGTCAGCTTGGGAAATCTCATTCATTATCTTTCAAACTTTCAAACTCTCGAGACTCAGATCCACTTGAACTCATTCACACAGATGTATGGGGGACTGTACCCATTCAATCCACTTCGGGTTTTAGGTATTACATAATCTTCATTGATGATCACACCAGATATACCTGGATCTATCCTATGAAAGGCAAGTCTGAAGCCTTAACTCAATTCATTCAGTTTAAAAATATAGTTGAAAACAAGTTTGAAAGGAAATAAAGGCACTTCAGTCTATTTGGGGAGGTGAGTTTAGAGCCTTCACTAACTTAGCCGTACAGTCTCGTATTGAAATGAAAATTGCTTGCCCTCATACCTCAGCTCAAAATGGTAGAGCTAAAAGAAAACATAGGCATATCACAGAGACTGACCTAACTCTTCTAGCTCATTCTGGCTTACCTCTACACTATTGGTAGGAAGCCTTTCACGAGGCCACATTTCTTATTAATAGACTGCCTACAACAATCCTCAATAAAAGATCATCCTATGAAACTCTAAATCACTAGCAAGTTGAGTACAAGTCCCTTAAAGCCTTTGGATGTGCTTGTTTTCCTTGCCTTAGGCCCTATCAAGATCATAAGTTCAGATTCATTTCCACCAAATGTGTCTATCTTGATTTCACTAACTCACATAAAGGTCACAAGTATCTTAGTCCTACTGGTAAGATTTATATCTCAAGACATGTTGTTTTCAATGAAAATGAGTTTTCCTTCAAATCTAGTTTCCTTGATAGAAATAGTGACTTGCAAACTAAAGACACCATCATAGTATCTACCTTTCAACACCTTCCAAACTCTTGATCCAACATTTTAACTGATATAGTTCCTCCTGATGCTTCTCCAACAGACAGGCCTTTTAGACCTTAGCAACCTGAAATGTCTGAGAATGAGATTCGAGGAGTAAATGAAAATGAAATGCAAGGAGCTAATGGAAGTAGAATGATAAGAGAAGGCCATGCTCAAATTGAAACTCAAGAAAGAATTGCAGGTGCTGATGAAGAGCAAACTGCTGAAGTAAACGGTGAGCAAAAGCAAAATGTAGCAGAGTTGAGCAGGCAGAACATTGAACACCCTATGGTTACTAGAAGTAAGGGGGTATTTTCAAACCAAAGGTTTACTCAACTCACTGCCAAGAACACATAATAAAGCACGATGATTTTTAACCTAATGATGTGCATAAAGCTTTAGCAAGTAAGGACACGAGAAATGCAATGACAAATGAATATAGAGCCCTCTTGAAGAATAAAAATTGGAAGCTTGTACCACCACCACTCAATCACAAAGTCATAGGAAACAAGTGGGTATTTAGAGTCAAGCGAGACATTGAAGGAAAGATGATAAAATACAAAGCATGATTGGTTGCAAAATGTTTCATTTAGACCTCATGCATTGACTATCTTGAAACTTTTAGCCCTACAATTAAAGCTTCTACCTTAAGAATTATCATCATACTTGCAGTTGCAAGAGGCTAGAGCATCAGTCAGGTAGATATCAACAATGCCTTTTTGAATGGCAAGCTGAATGAAGAGGTGTACATGAGCCAACCTACAGGTTTTGCAAATGTAGTCCTCATTATGTGTGCAAACTTGAAAAGGCTTTCTATGGATTGAAGCAAGCACCTAGGACATGGTATGACAAGCTCAAGAAAACACTTCTAGAATGGAAGTTCATAAAGTCTAAGGCAGACTGTTCCTTGTTCTTTCACATGAATCAAAGGCAGGTAATTTTTTTTCTAGTATATGTTGATGATATAGCGATAATTGGTAATGATCACAAAAATGTTGCAAAGCTTCATTGACAATCTGAACAAGCAGTTTGCACTAAAAGATTTTGGTAAGCTGCATCAATTTCTGGGTATTAAAGTGAGAAGGGATGAGTTAAGAATGTATCTCACCCAAACTAAGTACATAAAGGACTTGTTAAAAAGGTTTAATTTTGAGCATCTCAAGCTCTGTACAACTCCAATGTTTGTTGGCAAATACATATCTAAAGATGAAGGAGAGAAAATGGCCGATCCATCTTTGTACAGAAGTGCAATAGGAAGCTTACAATACTTGGCTTATACAAGGCCTCGCATAGCATTCTCTGTGAACAAACTCAGCCAATTTTTTGCAAAATCCCTCAGAGATACACTAGAAAGCTGTCAAAAGAGTTTTCAAATACTTAAGAGAAACAATTGAACAAGGTTTATGGATCCAAAGAAGTGAAAGAATAAGCATAACAGGTTTTGCTGATGCTGATTGGGCTTCTTGCCCTAATGATAGGAGATCCACGGCTGGTTATTGCATTTACTTGGGAGATGCCTTGGTTGCTTGGTCCTCTAAGAAGAAACAAGTTGTAGCAAGGTCTAGCACCAAATCTGTATATAAAGCTTTGGCTCAAGCTGCTGCAAAAATAAGTTGGATTGAATCTCTACTTAAGGAGATCAGTTTGTATCCTACTTCATTACCTACCTTGTGGTGTGACAACCTTAGTGCTAGTGCATTGGCTTGTAATCCTGTCTATCATGCTTGAACCAAACACATTGAGTTGGATGTTCATTTTGTCTGGGACAAGGTTCTTGAAGGGAATCTAATGATTCAATATATCCCCTCATTAGATCAGATAGCTGATCTATTGACTAAGCCACTAGCTCAAACCAAGTTTTTGATTCTCAAAGACAAGCTTGGAGTAAAGGACTAAACTCCAGCTTGAAGTGGGGTGTTGAAGTGTATATTTAATTGGA